AGAGAACAGCATCGAAACATGTATATTATCTAGGGTGAAACAGATCACCAGCCCAGATTGGATGCATGAGACAAGTGCTCGGACCTGGTGCACTGGGAAGACCCAGAGGGAGCGGGTAGAGACGGAGGTGGGAGGGGGGATCGGTATGGGGAATACATGTAAATCCATGGCTGATTCATGTCAATGTATGACAAAAACCACTACAATACTGTAAAGTAATTAGCCTCCAACTAATAAAAATAAATGAAAAAAAAAAGAGTCAGACACAACTGAGCAACTGAACTGAACTGAACTGAATCAAAGTAAATAATGGAGGGGCTGCCTGTGATGAGACAGATCACTCCAGTCTGCTGCTTTCCATCCAAAGAATCCAGAATACACAGCCAAAAAGTTACCTTCTAGACACTGCCATGAGAAAAATTCTCTGACCACATTGGAGATATGCCCAAGCTGGATAGAATAAAAAAGAACGGAAGTTATTGCTCTAGAGAGAAGCAAAATAGCCTCCACAACCAGCAGAATCTTACATAGATGCAAACAAGTCCATGCAGAAAAACAAAAGCAGATGTACAAATGAGTGAAAAGATTATAAGGGGCTATAAACTCGAAAGTAAGCTTATTAAGGCAAAAGGAAAGGCCCACAACTTTCTTGCCTAAGCATATTACTTCCTATTTACAAAGAGCCTGAATAGAAATTTTTATATGCTGGACAAAAGCCTTTGATGTAAGCAGACTCTGACAGTTGCTAAAAAGCAAAGAAATAATAATAGCAACAAAAAACAACAAAAACTTATGCCAGCAACCAGTAATCAGTCTGGTTTATCTTTAATAAATACAAGGACAAAAAAGAGTATCCAAATATTTGAAAAAAGTTTATAGCACAGAAAATAAGAATTTATTCAGATATAACAGAAATACTGGAAGGAACATAAGTGAATATAATAATAAATTGAAGGCATATTTATCTTTTCTCCACAATATTATACAAGAGAAAAATTAAATTTGGTATGAGTTTCTTTGGACTTCCCAGTTGTGCTAGCAATAAAGAACTGACTGTCAATGCAGGAGTCGCAGGAGATGCAGGTTTGATCCCTGGGTTGGGAAGATCCCCTGCAGGAGGAAATGACAACCCACCCCAGTATTCTTTCCTGGAGAATGCTATGGACAGAGGAGCCTGGCAGGCTATGGTCCATAGGGTCGCAAAGAGGTGTACACAACTGAAGCAATTTAGCACACATGCACACATGAGTGTCATTATTCAAATAAAAAACAGACTAAAATAAGTAATCATTACCCATGTATGTGAGAGTTTAGGGACTTTCCTGGCTGTCCAGTGGTTAGAAATCTGCCTTACAATACAGGGGACACAGGTTCAACTCTTGACTGGGTACTAAGATCCCACAGGCTGCCAAGCACCTAAGCCTGCATGCCACAAAAGTAAGCCTGCATGCCATGACTACAGAGTCTGCATGCCACAACTACCAGAGCCCACTTGCCACAACCAGAGAGTCCATGCACTTCAACAAACGATCCTGCATGATGCAACAAAGATCCCACGTGCTGCAACTAAGACCCAACGCAGCCAAATAAATTTTAAAACAGAACAGTCAAAGTAATTTAAAAATGAAAAAAAAAAGGACAGAACTACCTACCAAATATAAAAGTGTATTATGAACCATGTAAATTAGAAGGAGCAAGCTTCATTTTCAACACTACACAGAATAAAATTTTCCATTTTACTCACTTTAATTTGTGGCATATATGCAGATATGCCTGTATACTTCAGGGTCATATTCAACAATGCAGAGTTACTGGTGCATAATAACCACTCTTAAACTCAGTGGCTAAAAACAATCCCCATTTTATTTGCTCATAATTTTGTGAGTCACCCATGTACGATTGGCTCAGCTGTGTGATTTTTTGGTCACTAATATGACCTCAGACTAATGCAGTCATCTGGCACCTTGACAAGGATAGGTAGTTCAAGACAACCTCACTCACAGGTGATGGTCTGTGACTGCTGTAGGTAGGGCCTGTCCCTCGACTGGGTCATTCATCTTCAAGGAGGCTAGTTTATGCTTCTTTACCTGAACTTATGGCGGCAGGAGAGTGAAGACAGAAGCTTCAAGGCCTCTGAGACTTTTCTTAGAAGCTGTATGACACTTCTTCTGATACATTTGTTGTTTAAAACAAGTCACAAGTCCAAGTCTATGTTTTAAAGGTTGAGAGAATAGACTGTCTGTTAAGGTAAGGAGATGGAAAGGAGGAGGGTAGCCATTTTTAATCCACCATTATCTTATCTTTGGCTTCAAGTACATGCATGTCTCCTAGATGTAAAATGTCTCAAATATTTAAGTATAACTGCTAAAACCATAAATGTCTTATTCTAGCCACAAAGTTTTGGTATGTATGTCTGTGTACACACATGCATGAAGCAACAGATAACAGAAAAAAAAAGTTACTTTTCTGAAGATATTTTCATTAGAATAATGAGGGCCAAAAACAGATTGCAATGAATGAATGAGCATTTGGGAGGTGAGGAATCAGAGATACTAAATTTAGGCAACTCTTTCCAGATGTTAAGTGTAATGAGAAGAGAAACTGAAAAGGGGATGAATATATTTAAGGGTATGTATGGAATGAAAAAAAATTTCCTGAAAACAAGAAAAATCGATATTTTAAATGTTGACAGAAGTGAGTTAAAGAAAAAAAGGGGATTTGGAGGATACGATGGTGAGAAAAATGCCTGATGGAACAAGATCCTTGCAAAGGCAGAAGATGGAATGCAGGTGAAGGGGGAGCCATTGTGGTGAAGAGGGAAATAGTCCACAGAAGGACAAAGAGAATTATGTTTGTGGAATTCAAGAATGTTCATAGGTGAGATAAAGGGGTTTGAGGCATTTCTGTTATTTTGTCTCCTATTTTCTTTGAGGAGTAAGAAAGGAAGGAATAGTGAGGAGGAGGATTTGGAAACCTAAACAAAAGAGAGGACTGGAGAAGCCACCAAAGAATACTAGAGAAAGTTCAGGTTGACAAATAGAATGATTTCAGAGCACTATTAAAGGTCCCATTGAGGCTGGAGACCATGAATGCATAATATCTCCAATACAGATTATTGTGTAATGTTCTCTATCACTATTCAGAAGCCTGGATACAGAAGTGAAGATGGTGAGCCATTAACAAGAGCTCATTGAATTTGGCACTTTGTCAGACTAAAAGGAAAGCAGGATAAAGAAGTAATGGACTAAATGTATCAATTGGTGAGTGTTTTAAGAGATGAACTGATTAGGCAAGGAAGTAAAAATATTGGTATGATAGAATGGGAAACAGTGATCTGAGGTTTGAAGTTGCAAATGAACCAGAACTAACAGAATGAAAGAACTCAAGGTATTTGATCAAGAGGATGAGATGATCAAATACAAGGGTTTCAGAATTAAAAACAGTTACAAAATGGTATAAGTAAAGCAAAGTTTTCCAATGATAAGCCTTTTCACATTCATGTTATTGGTCCTCACAGTTGATATACTCTCAAGCAGAGAGATTATTTAGTATAGTAGTGAATAGGATGTTCCTAGGTCTGAGACACACCTGGTCTGGATACTGGCTCTGGGAGAAAGGAGAAATCAACTTTTTGAATCATATTCTTCCTCCATAATTGGGGATATTGGCAGTTTCTACCTCACAAGGTTTCCATAAGGATTCAATAAAATCATGTATATTAAGTGTTTAATACAGCCTATGATATGCAGTAAACACTTAATAAATATTAGCTATATTATTATTGCTATTAATGATATAGTTATTACTTGTGTACAATGAATTTTTTTATATTTAAAGAATGATTTATAAATAGCTTCTCTCTGAGCCATTCTTTTAAGTCATGGTAACATCTTAATGACTTGTATTGATTAAATGAAAAAGAAACTTTCAACTGAGTAGAGATCATTTCAAATTAAATAAAATCATCTCTAGTCTAGGCAGTGTGGGCGTATAAAGTAGAAGAAAAGCAAATCAAAACCTCTTATTTGTATGGGAAGATATCCAGGTTATTATTTCCATCATTTTTCAACGTTTTCTCACTCTTACAAAAAATAAAGGTAGGTAAAATGTTCACAGTAACTCTTCTCTGAGGAATTTTCTTTTCAAGATTCAGAATTACATTTAAACATCTATGAATGGATGGAGAAACTTATGGCAGCTGGCTTATTTACATAATATAAATTTTTCCATGAACCAGGCTTGGGGGATGGTTTGGGAACGATTCAAGCACATTACATTTATTGTGCATAATACTTCTAATCTAATGCCACTGCTGATCGACAGGAGTTATCAGTGTGAGGCCAAAGGTTGGGGCCTTTGACTATTCATATATACCTATCAATCTATTTTCATCATTTTAGCAACATACATAATTGTTAATTAAAACACTTGTAAAGTGTAGAGTATATCATATTCTATCTGTCTGTGCTCAGCTGTTTCCAACTCTTTGCAACCCCATGGCCTGTAGTCCGTCAGACTCTTCTGTCCATGGATTTTCCAGGTAAGAGTACTGGAATGGGTTACCAGTCTCTCCTCCAGTGACCTTTCCGATCCAGGGATTGAACTCAAGTCTCTTGCATCTCCTGCAGTGGCAAGTGGATTCTTTTTACCACTGAACCACCTGGGAAGTCCCAGCATATCATATTAATTAATATTAATTCTCTTCTATCTACTTATACTCTTCCAAGGCCCAGGCCACCATCAGACAGATGACCTGCAAAGCATTTTCTGAAGGAGTGTTCTAATGTGGGAGAACAAAGCAGCCACAGGTATAAATACTAACATAGAATGATATATATAATGTTATAGAAATAACAACACACAGTCAATATATATTGAGTGCACATCATATGTTATCTAACACGGTATCATTATCACCATTCTCATCTAAGTTCGGAGAAGGCAATGGCACCCCACTCCAGTACTCTTGCCTGGAAAATCCCATGGACAGAGGAGCCTGGTAGGCTGCCGTCCCTGGGGTTGCACAGAGTCAGACACGACTGAGGCGACTTAGCAGCATCTAAGTTCACAGAAGTTGCGGCTCTTAGGACCATGATCTTAAATTCTGCACTCTAACTCCTCTGAAAGGAAACAGCACCTTAGATCAAGCATGACGACAGCCCACTGGAACTCAGAGCCACAAACAGTAACAGTGATCAAGGAAAAGAAATAGCACAGATTTCTGGCCACTTTTCTTCCTATCTGGGCAGTGTATTTGTATATTAATTACTTAGAAACGTAATATGAATAAAAGGTATGAGAAGGTTTTTAATCATTCCTAAATTATCCTTTGAAAATAATAGTTACAGTAACTTCAGGATTAAACTCCCTTCAGAATAATAAAGGCAAATTTTAACATTAAAAAGACAAAGAATCATTGTATTCTCTTTTAGCAGACCTGTTAAGTATTTCTTTAGAACCAAATAACTCATTTAAAAAGGGCATTCTGTCCTTTTATACACCAATTTACTCATCTAAACATCTAATCAGTTTAGTGTCCCTGAAAAGGATGTAAATACTATTTAATTTACTAGTCAAGTTGGCTTATGGAAATTACTACTTAGCATGATTGCTGCTGGATAAAGAACAAACATGCAGGAGAAAAAAAATCTGTTTAATAAGGTCATTTCACCCTTCTGAAGTGACACTATCAAAAACATGTCCAGATTAGTAAATTGTGCAACTGAGCAAAGATTCTATAAAGAAGTCCAAGAATCATTAAAAATAAATAAATAAATAACTCCCTGGGTCCTTTAAGTAACAGACCCTTATAGGCCCTATATTGTTCTTTAGTCACTCAGTGATGTCTGACTCTCATGACCTCGTGGACCATAGCCTACCAGGCTCCTCTGCCCAGGGCATTTCCCAGGCAAATACTACAGGGGTGGGTAGCCATTTCCTTCTCCAGGGGATCTTCCTGACCCACGGATTGAATGGGCATTAACTGCTTGGTAGGTGGATTCTTTACCACTGAGCCACCAGGGACACCTATAGACCCTATACAAAAATTTCAGCATGTTAGATATGACTTACCCGTTTCAGATGCTCCTGTATTTTAGACTCCATATTTTCAATGTGTGCAATCATCTTGTTGACACATGGAGCCGGGATGTTTACTAAAGCACAGCTTTCACGTCGGCACGGGTAGCCAAAATAAAGGCCTTTATTCAGCTCTACAGGTAAAGCAGACAGAGGACATCAGTTCACAGTTATATACAGAATAGTAAACCTTCATCTTCAGAATGTACAAAAAGTTTCTGCTTTACTAGCAGTAACACTCCAACTCCAATCAACAGATTGATAAATGTCAGAGAATTATAGAATGAACCTTCCAATAATCTGAAAACTAAAATAAAATGATCATTTATAACATAAAATGTAACAAATAAAAATAAACCTAAGAAGTGAGAAGAAAACTTCAGGAAAATTTAAAAGTTGAAGTGTTCCATGGCATCATGAAAAAAGACAGAAAAAAGGCGGAAAATCAGTTAATCCATTTGTTTCTACATAGACCTTGAATCACTTAAGCAATGACTTTGACATATATTTTAAATTCTCCTCTCAAAGAGACACCACATGTTCCAGTGTAAATAATATCCAACCACTCATGCATTGAAGTTCTTCCTTAAATTCAGCATGGTTTCCCCTGCTGAAAAAATAAATAAATAAAAGCAGGTCCCCATCATCCTCATAATAACCTCATTTTCTACCTTCCATTTCTGAAAATTGAAGTCTCATGCGAAGAGTGATTGATGTTCTCACTGTGGCATTCAAGTTGTACTCATCATAAAATCCACTCAGTCTGATGTGCCTCAGTGATTCTAATCCTGGCATGTCCCGAATCAACTGAAGGTTGCAGAAGCACAGCAAAGCTGTCCATGAAGCTCCACCAAAGTGTCCCGTGGCCTCTAAGGACTCTTTTGAGCTGCATTACAGCTGCAATCACTGATCTTAAATGCAAAACACGAAATAGGATTGGGGCCTCAGTGAGAACAGACCGATGTTCTCATTTCAGTTGACCTTGAGGAACACGGAAGCAATGCTGTTGTCTCCAGCCTGTGCCTTTTGTTTCAGTGTCAACACATAGAGGTGGTAAATATTTTAGATAGCTTCATACAAACTGAAGTCTTTTAACTATCTTTAAATGAAATCTCAAAATGTCCTCCTCCAAAAATAAATTATCTGTCAAAATGGCATAGGTTTCATTTATCAATAAGGCTATTCCACATATGTTCATATCCTACATGCAGAATAATACATATTTTTTTTACCTTTTTGAGCACTAAATATATGTACCAAGCATGGGGCTACGCTAAGCACTTTTGATGCCACATTTTATTTAATCTTCACAACAATCAGTTGAAAGGAGTTCTTGTCTTGATTTCACATATGAGGAAATCAAAGCTTAGAGAAGTTGCTATCTTAAGTGCTGCACTGCAAAGAGCTGAGAAGTGGGAGAGCTGGAACTTAAACTATTTCTCTCTGGCTTGGGAGTATACACAATACCATGAAGGTTGTTTCTATATTTAGAAATGTGGTGAAATGAAGAGAAGTGTTTCTAAAAGGATATCTCATGGACATCTCAAAAGTTTCACATCACATGTTTGTGAAGTTCGAATGCTCTTTCAAGATATCAGTGCTGATATTCTAATGTATTTTACTTTGCTTTGACCATGGGGAACACACATACTTGGCGTGACTAATTTTTTGTTATATTCTATTTTGCCTCTTTATTTCATACACAGATATATATTTTCATCTCTGTAACACTCAGAGGACCAAAAAAGAAAAAAACCAAGCTGATAAAAATTACATATTGATCTCTTATTCAAATACCCTAATACAGGCATGTTTTCCAGCCTTCTAAAAATAGGGTTTTAATATACATTTAACAAGCAGGCAGTGTTCCTTATTAGTCAAAGCATTTCTTTTGCTTCATTAAATGTGGAGGAAACAAGGATAACCATGACTCTTTTAACATTTTTCTTCATGTGCCATTCTCAACCTACCAGATGAGTTATTCATTAATTTCCAAAGCACTCCATGGTTTAGGATTAACATTTTACATATGGTAAAGTGGGGGAAAGGAAATATTGTAAAGTTAGAGTTTGCACTAAAAGTCTACAAAAGACATGGCACTATAAGCAGCACAAGAAAGAACAAGAATCTATGAGTTCTCATTACTGCTTTATCCTAATATTACAGGTCTGAGTTACAATGTTCCTTTCCACTTCTTTTTCATGTTACACACACTATAGATACACTTAGGTCACTAAACTTGCTGTCTCTGGTCATTCATTTATCAGCTTGACTGAGTGATAACTGTGATTTTTAAGATAAAATTAATCAATCTCTAACCTTAGATTTCTCACTGAATACATGAATCAGATGGCAGGGTGTTATATAAGATCATTTTCACCTGCAACTCCATGATACAATGAATTAACAGTTTTAGTCAAACATTAAGTTGATAGAGCTCTACCTTGTAAAGCCTGTGCATAAAAAATTGGGTAAATATTTCAAGAATTAAACTCAGGCGGGGCACTCATTCTCTTTAAAAATCAGCCAGAAAGATAAAGACCATTACAGTGTACTAACACATATATATGGAACTTAGAAAGATGGTAATGATAACCCTATATGCAAAAAAAGAAAAAGAGACTCAGATGTATAGAACAGACTTGTGGACTCTGTGGGAGAAGGCGAGGGTGGGATGTTTCAAGAGAACAGCATCAAAACATGTATATCTAGGGTGAAACAGATCACCAGCCCAGGTTGGATGCATGAGACAAGTGCTCAGGCCTGGTGCACTGGGAAGACCCAGAGGGATCGGGTGGAGAGGGAGGTGGGAGGGGGGACCGGGATGGGGAATACATGTAAATCCATGGCTAATTCATTTCAATGTATGACAAAAACTACTGCAATGATGTAAAGTAATTAGCCTCCAATTAATAAAAATAAATCAGAATCGATGCATAAGAGTAAGATCCTTCTGGACCTAACCAGAGTTGAGGTTTGTTGAGACTGCAATATGAAACTTCCATTTGAGAAAAAATATGGATGGGTCTGATTAGTGTGGGCAAAGGGTTGTTTATGTTCATTAACTGCCAACTCTCTTCGCTCAATGAATTAGATCCTTACACAGTTTATTCACACAGGCCCTGTAATTTAAGATTTTATCACTACCATTCTTCCTTTTCTGCTTTTAATATGTAATTCCTTTACATCCATCACTGAAATTATTGTATCATGCCTTTATCTCAAGTCAGTTCTCTGAGGAAAAACTCTTACCCAAACACAATTTTTTTTTCTCACATTCCATTACCCCTTTTAATATCCTGGTTTTCTTCCAAAATGCAGAATAAGCTAGTGCTCATAAGTTTAGAAATAATTTCTTCTCCTTGCAAAGCCTCTGTGTGATGAACAGAAAGTACTGTTAACTTTTTTTTTAATGAAAAACAAAGTTCCTTTTAGTTTTGTTATACACTGGCGGTGGGGGAATATAGGAAGAGACCTTTCCCTGAGTAAAGAATGAATGGGCAAATTGATAGAAATTATCCAATCTAAAGAAAAGAAATAAAAATGAAGAATAAAGAACAGATCCTCAAGGAATTCTAGGGAAAAAATCAAACATAATCAAAGTCCAGCATATGTGAAGTTGAGGGTCTGGAAGAAGAGAGGGAAATTTGGAGAGAAAGATATTTGAAGAAATAACAGCCAAAAAATTTCAAAATCTCATGAAAAACATCAACTCACACATCCAAGAAGCTTAATAAATCTCACACAATATGAAAATATAAAGAGAACTATGTCTGAAAACATCAACAGTTTGGTCAAACTGTTGAAAACCAATTAAAGAGGAAATCTTTAAAGCAGCCAGATACAAAAGGACATGTCCTCTATTATACATAGAGGACATGGTATGAATAACTGCTATATTTCTCATCAGAAACAAGATAGGCCAGGACATAATAGAAAAAATAGTTCTAAAAAACAAGCAGGCAATCGGGAGAGTATTTCAGTTCGGTTCAGTCGCTTAGTTGCATCCGACTCTTTGCGATGCCATGGACTTCAGCACACCAGTCTTCCCTGTCCATCACCAACTCGCAGAGCCTACTCAAATTCATGTCCATTGCGTCGGTGATTCCATCCAACCATCTCATCTTCGGTCATCCCCTTCTCTTCATGCCTCAATCTTTCCCAGCATCAGGATCTTTTCCAGTGAGTTGCTTCTGCACATCAGGTGGCCAAAGTACTGGAGTTTCAGCTTCAGCATCAGTCCTTCCAATGAATATTCAGGACTGATTTCCTTTAGGATGGACTAGTTTGATCCCCTTGCAGTCCAAGGGACTCTCAAGAGTCTTCTCCAACACCACGGTTCAAAGGCAATTTCTTTGGCACTCAGCTCTCTTTATAGTCCAACTCTCATATCCATAACATGAGTACTGGAAAAACCATAGTCTTGACTAGATGGAACTTTGTAGTAAAGTAATGTCTCTGCTTTTTAATATGCTGTCTAGGTTGGTCATGGCTTTTGTTCCAAGGAGTAAACATCTTTTAAGTAGTATTGAAACATAAACATTACCATATATAAAACAGATAGCTAGTGAAAATTTACTGTATGACACAGGGAGCTCAAATCTGGTGTTCTGTGACGACATAGAGGGGTGGGATGGGCTAGGATGTCGGAGGGAGGTTCAAGAGGGAGGAGACATATGTACACTTAGGGCTGATTCACGTTGATGTACAGCAGAAACCAACACAACACTGTAAAGCAATTAGCCTCCAATTAAAAATAAATACTTTTAAAAAATTAAATAAAACAATCAAAAAAACAGGCAGGAAAGAAGGAAGGAAGAGAGAGAGAAACATTGAAAAAATAAATTTGACTTCACCAATATCAAAACATTCAGCTTGCCTCAAAAAGCTGTTTCAATAAATGAAAATACGAGCAAGAGTGGGAGGAAACATACACATCTGACAAATGACTTACATATGGAATGTGCAGAGAAAATTTACAATTGGAAAACAACCCAATAAAAAATGGGCATAAGACTGGACTTTTCCAATAGATAACACGCAAATGACTAAGAAGCATGTAAAAAGATGCTCCACATCATTAATCATCAGAAAAGTGCATATTTAACTCACAGTGCAGTACAACTTCACAATCACTAGAATGCCAAAAATTTTAAAAACTGGCAAAGTCAGTATTAGTGAGAATACAGTACATCTGTAGGCTTCCCAGTTGGCTCAGTGGTGAAGAATCCACCTGCCAATGCCAGAGACACAGGAGACATGGGTTGGATTCTTGGGATGGGAAGATCCCCTAGAGGAGGAACTGGCAAATCCACTGCAGTATTCTTGCCTGAAAAATCCCACAGACAGAGGAGCGTAGCGGGCCATTCTATGGGGTTGCAGAGTCAGATATGACTAAGTGACTGAGGACACACATACAGAACAACTGTAACTCGTATGTTGCTGGTGGAACTGTCAATAATTTTTGGAAAACAGTTTGGCAGTTTCTTATAAAAGTTAAGTATACACTTATTGTATGAGTCAGCACTCCACTTCTATGTATTTACCCAAGACAAATAAAAATATGTCCATAAGAGACTTATGTGTAATTATTCGTAACAGCTTTATGATAGCTCAAAATCAGAAAACCCAAAGTTTCTGTCAATGGCTATACAGTACTCATGCAAAGAAATACTACTGAGCAGTAAAACGAACAAACTGCTGATATATTCAACATTGAAACTACTAATATATTCAGCTACATGGATGAATCTCACAGACCTCTTTGTCAGACTTTGAAAGAAACTGGACACAAAAGGATACGTAAGTGGAACGATTCCACTTATTTAAAATTTTAAGATGGTGAAACTGAAATCATATCTGTGGCTATGAAGGGTGGAGGTGAAGTGATAGTGAACACAAAAGACATGAATGGACTTTCTGAAAAGAGTATCTATACCCTGTTTAAGACGGTGGTTAAATGGGTGTCAAATCATTGACCCGTTTACTTAAATGAACGGATTTTATTGTATTTAAATTTTCTCTCAACAAATCTGTTTGATAAAAAGACCACCAAACATTCCCTAGTGACAGAATTAAATAACCTCGTACCATTCTCCTCTTGACCACTAGCGCCACCTGGGAAGCCCTTGTTTACTGTAGCTCTCCTGACTTCTTTTCCCTTACATAAAAGAGTATGCCTTGGCGGAACTTGGGGGAACTTGCACATAGCTCATAATGGCTGCAGACCTTGAATCTGCTGATCCAAATAAACTTCTCTTTTCTGGAGAACTATTTGATTGTTTGCTTAGGACAATAGTTTCCATATTCCTCCTGTACCCAAGTAATTCTGCAGAGCACACTCAGTCTCAAATTTTCAAGCAAAAGACTTGGCAACATAATGTCACCAATCAAATTTATACAGGACCAGAGACTAAGCAATAATGAAGTTCGCACTTTTGAGCCTGAAGTTCAAGATGATGCCTGACTGCACCTTGATCATTTCAAGCTTTATGTTAACCAATTATCTTTATATTTCTGGATCTTTCCTATGCTGAATTCAAAGCAATCTACTTTTCCCATATCTTGTGTTAAATTACCACACTATTTGATTCATTCTCTTCTTCCTTAAATTCCCTCCTCACATTTCATATACAAATACATCCTTCAATACTCAGTTCAAATCTGTCCTTATTCATTAACAGTTCTCTTAATTCTTAAAAACCATACAAACAAGTTGATGTTACTCAAAATACTGACAGTACTTTTGTCCCACAGTATTCATTTGCCATACACTGCTCTGATATTGTGATTTACAATGAAAGTGAAACTGAAAGTTGCTCAGTTGTGTCCGACTCTTTGTGACCCAGGCCAGAATACTGGAGTGGGTAGCCTTTGCCTTCTCCAGCGGATCTTCCCAACCCAGAAACTGAACCCAGGTCTCCCACATTGCAGGTAGATTCTTTACCAGCTGAGCCACAAGGGAAGCCCAAGAATACTGGAGTGGGTAGCCTTTCCCTTCTCCAGGGGATCTTCCCAACCCAGGTCTCCCACATTGCAGGTAGATTCTTTCCCAGCTGAGTCACAAGGGAAGCCCAAGAATACTGGAGTGGGTAGCCTATCCCTTCTCCAGCAGATCTTCCTGACCCATGATCGAACCAGGATCTCCTGCATTGCAGGCGGATTCTTTACCAACTGAGCCATCAGGGAAGCTCCCGTGATTTAGAATAAGCAGTATATATTTGGTCTTGATCTGTTTTTGGCACAGAGATGCTAAAACCCTTGCCATTTCCTAACCAATGACAGCAATTAAAATGTCATTTTTTATACTAATGAGGTGATTTCTGGACCCCAGATAAGGATGGGGACTCAGGAGAACCAATCCTTTGATTACAGAGTTGGAATTTTCAGTCCCAACACCAACTTCTGACCCTTGTGGAGGGGAGAGGGGCTGGAGGGTGAATCAACAATCTATGGTCAATGATTTAATCAATTCTGCCCATATGATGAAGACTCCACAAAAATTCAACAGGACAGGGATCTGAGAATTTCTCGGTTGGTGAATATATGGAGATTTGGGGGGACTGGCATGCTTGGAGACAACATCCCTTCCTCCATATCTTGTGGAAGCTCTGTGACCTTCCTCCATATCTTGCCTTATGCCCCTCTTCCATCTGACTGTTCCTGTGTTATATTCTTTTATAACAAACCAGTAACCTAGTAAGTAAAATGTTTCTCTGAGTCCTGTGAGCCACTCTGGCAAATTAATAAAAACCTAGGTAGGCAGGGGTATAAACTGAAACCACTAATAATATATAGTAGTTGGTCAGAAGCACAGATGATGAACTGGGCTTAAATTAACCAAAATTAAGATTAAGTATTTTGACAAATATGGAGTTCTCCATGAGAATGATCTGAGAAAAAATGTGAAACACTATAGAATGGGGCTTCCCTGGTGGCTCAGATGGTAAAGAATCCACCTGCAATGTGGGAGACCCAGGTTTGAACCCTGGGTTGGGAAGATCCCTGGAGGAGGGCATGGCAGCCCACTCTAGTACCCTTGCCTGGAGAATTCCCAGGGACAGAGGAGCCTGGCGGGCTACAGTCCGTTGAGTCGCAAAGAGTTGGACACGACTGAGCAACTAAGCCCATAGCATACATAAAATGCATACATTTAACCATCTCTTTCTACTTCTTTCCACACAGGACACAAGAAACACTTTCTGAGTTAACATTTCATGGAATCTCAATGAACAATTTTTAATTCTGGATTTCACAACCCAAAAACATTAGTCCTTCTTATTTTCATTCTAAGAAACATATCCTTAATGAACTGGAAAGTTTCCAGCACATGTCAGTCCTAACATGAAGGATAAAGAAACTGTTTATTTTAAACATTCATAAATTTCTGAAATTATAAACAATTCTTATGAATCAAATTTTAATTAACAATACACTATTAATAAAATTTATTAAAATATTATATCCATATATTATATATCAGTACTTTGTTAACTATTAATGATATTTAGGTTTATTTCTTAATAAAAATATAACATTGGCATCACAAGCAAATGAGTGAATATAAAACAGTTTACATAGGTTACTATACAATTTAGATTCTGCCCTCACCTTCAGTGTTTGTCATCTTATCTTCATGAATAACCGCAACAGCTTCCTCAGGGTTAACAAATGGAACCAAAGCTTGTGATGTGGCATTATCTTTTTAAAAGAACACAAAAATTTCAGTGAGTAGTTAATATATACATTTAAAATAAGCAAAATAACNATCAGTACTTTGTTAACTATTAATGATATTTAGGTTTATTTCTTAATAAAAATATAACATTGGCATCACAAGCAAATGAGTGAATATAAAACAGTTTACATAGGTTACTATACAACTTAGATTCTGCCCTCACCTTCAGTGTTTGTCATCTTATCTTCATGAATAACCTCAACAGCTTCCTCAGGGTTAACAAATGGAACCAAAGCTTGTGATGTGGCATTATCTTTTTAAAAGAACACAAAAATTTCAGTGAGTAGTTAATATATACATTTAAAATAAGCAAAATAATGTACAAAACTATGTTGTAAAAGTATTGTCCTTGAAAAAGCAACTATAATATCGATATTAAAAACATAGTAGAGAATCTAATTAAAATTCTTGCACAGTAAAAAAATAAAAATAAAAACATAGTAGAATATCCTCAGATGTTTCGTTTTTTGATTGGCTTAAGTCTTACAAAAAGGTATTCAAAATAGCACACAGCTATTAAAAGCAGAAAGCTCATTCAGAGTAACATCACCAAAATGATGGGGTTGGAGACCCTAGCTTCCATCTACCAATAATCATTAACAATCAGACATACAAACAAAAATAGCCTTGGGAAGTCTCAAGAGCCCACTTAAGAAACTTCAGCCACATATATATATAAAACAGAATAACCGCACACAATGGGAAGGAAGACAGCTTCATTTTGTCTGACACTGGTCATGCCAAGAGAAAACTCTGGTCTGAAATAGTCCCTCTCCCTGGGAAAGGGTGAGCTACCAGCTTCCCTTTGGGGGCACTGAAATGATAAACAATTCTTATGAATCAAATTTTGAGAGAACTGCACAAAGGATAGTCTTTTATTTCATCCCACTTAGAGATCAGCAAAGCTGAGAGGCATAAAGATGGCCTGGCAAAGGAAGAATGGCAAAGGCTATCAACATCAGGCATGAAGCAGCAATGGTCATGCCTCCCAGTGCCTGCTCTGCAGAGGACCTCAGCTTCTTTGCTGGCAAACTTGTCTTTCAGAATTGAAAAAGAATGAGTTTCCCGACAAAAAACTGAGAGAGTTCATCACTATTTGACCTGCTTTATAAGAAAAATGCTGAAAGGAGTTTTTCAAGTTAAAAAGACATGAATTAGTAACAGAAAAATAAAAACATAAAACAAATCAGTAAAGGTAAGGGTATATTCAAATACAGAATACTCCAATACTGTAGTGAGGTATTAAATATTTAACTCTAGGAATACTAAAATAGCTATAACTGCAATAATTTATTAATAGATACAAAATATAAAAGATTTAAATTGTGATATCAAAGACACAAAATTTGGAGGTGGGGTATTTAAAAGGGTAGAGTTTTTGCATGTGATTGAAATTAAGTTGCTATCAGCTCAAGATAGACTGTTACATCTATAAAATAATTCACTTAAGCCTTAAAGAAACCACAAAGCAAAAACATATAGTAGACACACAAAGAAAAAAAAGAAGGGAATCAGAGTATACTGCTACGAAAAATCATCAGTTCAAAAAGGAAGACAGCAAGAGAAGAACATAAACAAAAGAACTACAAAACACACATAAAATATCAACAAGATGCCATGAAGAAATCCTCATCTATCAATAATCACTTTAAATGAAAATGAGCTAAACTATCCAATAAAAAAGCAGAGGGATTGAGCAAATTAAAAAAAAAAAAACAAGATGTATTTATATATATGCTACTACAAGAGACTCATTCCAGATTTAAGGGCATATATAAGCTCAAAGTGAAGGGATGAAAAAATACATTCCTTGTAAATGGAAACCAAAAAATATCAGAGGCAACTGATATATAAATGTATATTACCTTATACATTCCTATGTCAGACAAAGCAAATCCATTTACAATAGCATGAAAAGAATAAAGTGCACAGGAATAAACTTAACCAAGGAACTGAAACATCCATACACAAAAAAAGCTGTAAGATACTGGTGAAAGAAATTGAACAACAACAAATAAGTGGAAAAATTTACTCTTCATAAATGAGAAGAGTAAATATTGTTAAAATGTCCACTCAATTCAATTCTTATCAAAATTTCAATAACATGTCTCACAAAATTTTTTAAAAATCCTAAAATTCTCTTGAAATATCAACAGACTCCTAAAAAAAAAAAAAAAAAGACTCCTAATAGCCAAAAGCATCACACTTCCTTATTTCAAACTGCATTACAAATTGCACTACAAAATGTACTGCATCTATAATAATCAGAACAGTATGGTACCTAGAGGGTAACGGGCAGGAAAGCCAGGGGTCTCCAAACAGAGGAAACAGGCTGCAAGTGTCTTTTAAAATCTTCTGTTGCTATGTCCACACCTGGTTCCACCTTAAGTTAACTTTTCTCAAACCCTGAGCTAACCAATCCGTTTTTCTTATGGAAATGTTTTTCTTAAGCTATGTTAATGAAACTATGTATTTGCTTTGGAATTTGCCTTTCTTCAAAACGTTCCACCTAAGACTAACTTTTTTTTCTTTTTCTCAAACCTTGGGCAGGTAATAGCTCAACAAACCAGTATTCATATCAATTGTTTCATGATTGGGGGATGACACACCTCATGCCATCCTAATTCAAAAATGCATACCGCGGGAGAGGGGCCTGGTGAAACCCTCAGCCTTGAGGTGTCTCTGTCATCTGATTAACAGCTTTCTAACCAGTCCATCCTAAAGGAGATGGACAGGGTGGGTGTTCATTGGAAGGACTGATGCTGAAGCTGAAACTCCAGTACTTTGGCCACCTCATGCGAAGAGTTGACTCATTGGAAAAGACCCTGATGCTGGGAGGGATTGGGGGCAGGAGGAGAAGGGGACGATAGAGGATGAGATGGCTGGATGGCATCACCGACTCGATGGACATGAGTTTGAGTAAACTCTGGGAGTTGGTGATGGACAGGGAGGCCTGGCGTGCTGCGATTCATGGGGTTGCAAAGAGTTGGACACAACTGAGCGACTGAACTGAACTGAACAGACATAAAGCAGCTTGCTAAAACTAGCAAAGGGGGCACTCTCCGTCCCCCTCCTGATGTCTGTGTCAGAAGCTTTCTCTGTCACTTTTCATACTTTAATAAAACTCTGCTACACAAAAGCTCTTGAATGATCAAGCCTGGTCCCTGGTTCTGAAGTTTAAGTCTTCTTCAGAGATCACAAATCCAACACCATTAACCATAAACTATCAGTACTGGCATGAAAACAAATGCATAGATGAATGGAACAAAATACAGAATCCAGAAATAAACGGTGGGGGAAATGAGGAGATGTTGGTCAAAGGGAACAGTTGTAAGAGGAAAACTGGTGACTATAGTTAACTGTATTGTATTGTATACTTGAAAATAGAAATAAGAATAGATTATAAACATGTTTCCCTAACAACAAAATGATAATTATGTAAAGTAAAGGATGTGTTCAATGGTCTTATTGTGGTAAGCATTTTACAATACTTACAAACATCAAATCACCATAGTGTACAACTAAATTTATACAAGATGGCTTCCCTGGCGGCTCAGAGGTAAAGCATCTGTCTGCAATTCAGGAGACCTGGGNCTGTTTTCTCTATTAAAGGGTGATATGACTCTATGGGAAACACTGGAAAATGTTGAACAGTAACTGTGTCCTCTGAGCCATGGACACACATACACACAAACATACATTTATGATTTAAGTGTATTAATAATAATTAGAATAAGAGTGAGCTCAATGTTAAGAAACAAAATAGAATGAGTGGTTACATACATATGGGGCACACTGAGGACAGAGAAATGAACTAAAGGAAATATATGTTAGTGAAGGAGGTAAAAGCTGAGTTGAGTGATTATGGCAGGAAACTGGAGGAAATAAAAGATAGACTGAGATTACTGAGAGTCTAAAACAATCTGCCAGAGTAACATGATGCCTCGAAGAGATAACTTATCTACAACTAAGGTTGTGTGGCAAAGTACTAGGGTGGTAGTTTGAGAAGCCCCACTAAAAAATTAAACCCTGAACTCCATAGTTCTGACCCAGTAAAACATCTCTAAATTTTTATGAAATGACATATAAAATTCCAAGATTGTCAGTATATTTTTGACTCTGCTGACAACTTGGCTGTTGAAATCGATAACATTTGTGGCAGTGATCTCAAAGTCTCTTGAAGACATATTGCTATCCTTACTTTTTTTTTTAAATAGTTGTCTCTAATATACATTGCATATATTTATAAATTATGTATATGTTCTTTTAAACTATTAGTATAGTAAAATGCATAAATTGTACATGTTAAAGAATAAAATGGCTTCCCTGATGTCTCAGCTGATAAAAGGTCTGCAATGTGGCAGACCTGGGTTCGATCCTTGGGTTGGGAAGATCCCCTGGAGAAGGGAATGACTACCCACTTCAGTATTCTGGCCTGGAGAATTCCATGGACTATATAAGTCCAAGGAGTCTCAGAGTCAGACCTGACTGAGCGACTTTCACTTTCACTTTTACAGATATAACTAAAGATTTATGCTAATATTTAATAATAGAATATTTATGTACCAAATCCCACTAAAAAGAAAAACAAAGCAGAAGTATATTTACAGCAAGAATATGCAAAACATAAAAGAAATTTCAGCTGTTGAAATAGTATAAAAATGATAAAATGTAGTGCTATGAAAGTATTAATAACTACCTTGAGTGCTTTAAATTTTCCCAAAAGAACAGCCAAGCAAAAATTGTATTAATAACAGAAAAAAATTATAAATAAACTATACACATTTTCCCCTGAGAAAGAGAATTTGACATGACCAAATTTTGAAGGAATCCAGAACTTGAGCTAAATAATATTGAAAGTTACTATTTTACAATTCAAGCTAGAGTTAATAAAGAAATATTTATGGATGGGGAATACATGTAAATCCATGGCTAATTCATTTCAATGTATAACAAAAACTACTGTAATGATGTAAAGTAATTATCCCCTGAGAAAGAGAATTTGACATGACCAAATTTTGAAGGAATCCAGAACTTGAGCTAAATAATATTGAAAGTTACTATTTTACAATTCAAGCTAGAGTTAATAAAGAAATATTTATGTGTGTGCAATAATACAGCAACATCATATTTAAAAAATAGTGCAATTTTTAGCACAAACAAAATTTAGAGAAAAAATACAAGGTGAGATTTTCACTCTTCATCATTAATCTACAGCATATACAGTTTAGAATAATGAAATTATACATAGAA